GTTTCATTATACTGGAAAAAAAGAACAAAATTTCAATCTAGTGTACACCTACTAACACTCGTTGTTGTTTTTGATATTCGATTTTGTCTGAAATTTCTACCTCTACCGAGTCATTTTTTCAACGTGAGCTAAAACGCATAAGGGTTCCGTGATTCCAGGAGAATTGAACCAATAATACTTTCTTGAGAGAGTTTGATCGTTCCTTCTGGCAATTTCACTTTCTTAAATTTCTTCTCTCACAGAATCAGAAACAAAATTTTTGATTTAAATTTACACAGACATTAAATATATATGTTTTTTTCGAACGAGTTTAACATATTTATTTTTCTTGATATAAAACTGAATTTGGCGTAATTAGTGCTCTGGCAATCAATGGAGCATGTTTTTATTTCTGGGATGATAATATTGGAACGTCTAAGTTAATTCGGTTAAGCAGTAATGGGAAATCAGTTAAGGAATGTAATAATTTATATAATAATATGCATTCAAAAAATTTACTTCTGTACTGAACAGTCGTCGATGTCAGATCCTACATTAACGTTGAGCATGGTGTATCTCAGTATTATCCAGTTATTCTGTAATAAATCAGGCGAAAATATCTTTTCTGAACTGCTTTATGCGACTGATACGGGTGGGCTGAAAGGGAACGCAAAGAGGTGAGCAGTAATCTAATACTGGACTTAAAAGCCTATAAAATTTCAAACGTATCGGAATCATGGAAATGTTTAGTATGTCGGGTAATAAATCCTAAAGTTTAATTTACTTTAGCAATAGTTTTAATAATGTGTGTGTGTGTGTGTGTGTGTGTGTATGTGTGAAAGTTTATGTGAGTGTCAAAATCTTTAATAGTTTCAGGTTAAATTGGAAAGGAGATTTTATTTTAAGGAACTGAGCATTTGTCAGAATTTATTTATTTATTTTTTGTATTTCAATTGTGAGGTTTATGAACCCTCGGGGTGCCGGTGTTTTTGAAAAAAAGCCCAATTTGTTTGTATGTCGGGTTCGAATGCTGGGCCGCTGGATTCGAACCCGGTATTGTAGTGAAAGCCGTGTCAACGCCTAAACCCACCGACGCCCAGAATCAGAATTTAAAAGAATATTACTAGTTGAGCACAATTTAATAATTTCAATTAATTATTCTTTTTATGTAAAGTCTTCGTTGAGATGAAAAAGCTAGTGTCACGAGCGGGATTCGAACGTACGACCTTCGGCTCAATACGCCGCTACTCTAACCACTTGAGCTATCGTGATTTCGATCCACTGGGACACTCCATCTCAACCTAACCTTTCGCATTTTACCTCTTTTTGCCATTTTTCAAGACCGTGAGTTCGAATCCCGCACGTGACACTAGCTTTTTCATCCAAACCAAGACCTTACATAAAAAGAATAATTAATATGGTCAATTAGACCACTAAACGTAAATGGAACAATTTAATAAGTTTTACTAAGGCATGTCAAACAGTTTTGAAATGAGTTTTGTTTTCAACAGGTAAAAAAATCAGAACCCCGGCCGAATGATTCAAATTTTACAAAAATACACACCGTTTGACGGGATATTTTACATTTTTGTGTTTTCTCCAAGTCGATGTAAATAAAATAGCTTTACGATTCAAATATTAGGAAAGTTTTACGGTCGAAAAGTACGTGCCATGAATGAAGCGATGGGATCCTTTTTTACTAGAAGTCACAAGCATTTGGGAGCCAAAGCAAATGGAAAGTCTCTGTACCTTGGAAGCCCTTATCCCAACTTGGCTCCTTAAAGTAATAGCCACCTCTCTCGACAGGTCCTTTCGATTTGAAGGTACTGGAACTGACAGTCTTAACATTAACATTAAGACAGACAATTTTGCACTGGATTAGTATCAACAGACTTTTATTTATTAAAAGTGAATGAATATTTCGTAATCATAGTTTGACAGCTATTTGTGTACTAAATTTTCCATATTTTCTTCTCCCTTCTTTAACTTACAAAATATCAACCTATGTAATAATATACGTTAATTTAAAATCAATTAATTAAAAGCAACAAATTATACTGTATGTTATAAATATTTTTAATCATAATGAGATAACATTGTAAAGACTTCTTAGCTTTTTTTCCCCACTAAGATTAAATCGTGAAGGCCCAGCGGAGCTGAACTTTGGGAAAGCTTGAAAGACATTACTTTAAAAGCAATTAATTAAAAGCAACAAATTATCACATGATATAAATATTATATGTTATAAGATAACGTTGTAAAGATTTCGCTTAGCCGAGCTTAGAGTTTTTTTGTTAATAAGATTAAATCGTGAAGACGCAGAGGAACTGAGCTCTGGGAAAGAATTATTCCCACACTTTTCGTTCTTCCATTGCATTGTCAACACCTCTTCCGTCCTATTATTTTATATTTTCTTAAATTTGTATTTTTTAGAAAATAAAGTTTGTTTTTAAAAACCGTGACTGACTGAATTTCGGAAGAATACGGACCGACTTCGATTAAAAGTGGACTGTCCAATCCAACAGGATTCATGCAAAGGTCGAGCAAACGAACCAAAGGACTGCAAGGAGGAATAGAAAGCTGCAGGCAACGAGGAGTTACAGATCATCATCACTATTCAGTTGTTAATTATATTTTTATCTTAGTTCTTGATCGAGAATGAAAAAGACGCCGATGCTCTAACCAATTAAGCTATCAGTGTGGATCACCTATATACACTGACACGATATATAGATATATATTATGCAGGGTGGGCGACCAAGACCCGAGGGGTTAATTGCCTGGGTAGACTTGTACCCCATCCCTAAAAGGTCCGGGACTTGGTCCTGCATAAATCTCTTGGACCTATAAACAAACCCCAAGATTTTGGACCATTTAATCTCGGGGAGTGATTTAGTGATGTCCTCTCCTTCAAAGATTTCAAATCTAGAACTAGCATACCTATCACACTCTGAGAGGTAGTGCCTTGCCGTTTCTTGTTTTATTTCGCAAAAACGGCAAAAGGGATCTGGTAGAATACCTATTACGGAGAGGTATCTTTTCAGTGGGCACAGTGGCGTATTAAGCCAAAGGTCGTGGGTTCGAATCCCGCTCGTGACGCTGGCTGTTTCATCTCAACCGTAGATGAAAAGTATAATTAATTAAAATAATATATTGTTGTAACTACTAAATACAAATATGGATTATTCGTGTTATCAAAAAATTATTTTATTCATAAGATACCTAAACAATAATTTTCTAAGTATGAAATTTATTTTATTGTACTTCAACCAAGTCCTGAAGATGATCCGAATAAAGGTCGAAACGTCGGCATAAAAATGAAAAATGGTGTTTTTCTACACTGACCTCATTCTTTACAGCTCCTAACGAATCCAACAAATTATAAAATTTAGATTAATTAATTTTTTAAATGTTTTTTGCTTCCGTTGTTTTTGGATATTTTAATATTTAGTATCCGTGTATACGTATTATTTTTTTATATTTGTAGCAAATATATATATATATATATATATATAGCCGAGTGGTTAAGGCGTCAGACTCTCGGCTAGTAGATCCCGCGGTCGTCGGTTCGATCCCCACCATCGCCTCTGGACTTTTTCTGACGCCTAAGGGGACCGGTGGCCGCAATTGAAAGAAATTGACTCGGCACTCATCAATGGAAGGGGGCGGGATCGGATCTCAGCGACCCTGAATTTGGTCCCAACCCCCTTCAAAAATGTGTTTCTTCGATGGAAGAACACCGGTACAACGGGGGCTCAAGTTCATATTTGTGTTGCCCGCCCATTGAAAAAATCTTTTGAATCGAAAAATTTTGAAAAAAACACTATGCCATCGCTGCAGCCGTAGGACACATGCCATGAGAAGCCAGACAGTACTGGCACTCAGTTTGAGGGATTAAAGCCTAACTGGGACTCGAGACGATTCATGTCGCTGTGCAGAATCAAGCTGGATAGATGCAATGTTCGGACTCAGCACAGGGGCTGCGCCGAGAGAAAAAACCGTGCTTACTATTCATATAGCGATTCAGTTCTAAACGAAAAATGATGGACGAAGTTGCTTTGTCAGATAAAAATTGTTTTAAAAAAAATTGTAACAACATCATTTTGAATTTTCATATCATGTTGCAAGAAAGCGTTTATTATAAACTAGGTTTTTAATTATCCCGTACCATATTTACATATTTTGACTAATTTTGTTCATGAAAAACCGTGGTCAATAAAAGGAAAATGTAAACATTTATTTGTTAACCATATCGGACGGATTAAATTTAAATGGCCGTCATTTTGGCATGGCAATTATTATTTGTCAAATGGTCGCAAAGGCGTAAACGGATTCACAGTTTAATTATCCAACAGGACAAGGGTACCGTCTGAAAGATTGGAGTAACTCAATCAATCTTAACTTTTGCCACTGGAAAGGGTGGATAATGGCACCACCGACCCCGCTCGCCCACTGATACACATAACACCCATTTCACTCGACCCAAATCATAAGCTTTCGCTGCTAAAAAAAACCACGTCATAATTTTTAAAACGAGTATAACAGCAGGAGGTAGTAATGATAAGGTTATTTTAAATTTATTTTAAGTTACAACTACCTAAATATATTTTAACAATATTTCATGAGCTGCTTCGAGGTTTTCACTTTCGTTATCCAATAATGTATTAAAATGATCATCTTTCTTTTCCGTCAAAATTAATAAAACTAACAGTTAATTGAATAAGTAGAATATTTATAAAATTTTAGATACTGTTCAACAAGAGAGTAACTTTAGTAAACATTAAATAGAATTAAGTCATTTATCGTCCTTTGTATTTATGCATTTGATGCCCTTTTTACACACACCATACGGGTTGCAGATGTATTTATTGATTTGACATTGTAAATTTACGAAATCAATATTTTTCATAATAATTTAAAACAAGGGTAAGGGATAAATATATTGCATCCATATTATTTTAATTGTTACGTTTCAATGATATGATTTGTTATGAAATTTAGGATTAGTTGTTAGGACTCACCCTCGATCCGCTGGTCGTAGCCCTTTGTGAAGAACAGCATGGCTTTTGCTGCCCTCTCCGGCGTCTTCAGGAGCCCTTCCCTCTCCGGATTCTCTCCCAGGGAAGACAGGAGCATTTTGTAAGAGCGAGACATGTCGGGAATCAGGGACTCCCTTGTCGGCGGTTTGTGGTCCAGCTCGAGATCATGGTGGAACGTGCACTTTTCGTGACCTAAAAACAAAAAATATGAATTGAGAAAACCTTGTAAATCTGCCTGGAAATCGTCCTCGGTCTTTGAGGTCCGCCTATTCTCGGTCAATTGAGTTATTTCGCAATATTCCTTGTCGGAAGAAAGACAGACCACATTGATTGGAGGATAGGTAAGACATAATTTCTCTGTTATTATATATTTAAAAAAATACATTCTTGTGATTGTAAGGCCTAAGCTGTAATATAAACTATTAATTTATAACGAAAGTCTTCCACTTTTTTAATTATTGGGTTGTCCGGAAAATAATGCAGGATTTTGGTATTAAACAAAAAAAAAGAAACTAGTTACTTTAAAGCAATGTTCTTTAATCAAANAATGAGTAATCCTGTAAACGTAAACAGAATATTTTATATAGATTTTTTTTAATGAAAACTTAAAATCCTGCATTATTTTCCGGACAACCCAATAATTAAGACGAAAATTATATACTAGATGACAATATTTATATCAACTGATTTAAAAAAAAATTTTGTTTATACAATTTCAAAGGTTAACACAAATATTAAGAGCAAAAAGAATATTGTCTTTATGTAGTTCAAAGGTCGGGTTATCAAATGCAATAAATCAGGGTCACTCCTCATTTTCGATAATAATAAAAAATAACAGTCTTCAAAACCTAAAGCACAAAGATTCTTATATTTAATTTATTTAGGGCTTTATATAAATATTGTTTAATATATTTATTATTAAACCATGTAATCACAATGTATTGTTTCCATTGAAACACAGGAAGGAGATACTAAATCATCAAAACTTGAGTGTTCAACTGAATAATCTAACCATAAACCTCCCACACTTAGATAGAATTGAGATCATTTCTCGTTATTACCAATATTAGTTTATTAGAACAAAAATAGTAATTTGCTTTATTAATTAAGACCTACAAATTAAAAATAAATTAATCTGAATTCGATGTATTACTTTCGAATCGTAAAGTGGCACATAAGTATTTCAAATTAGTCAGTCTTTCTAACAGAAATAACTACTGCAAGATTAAATTTCAATTTCCTGAATAAAATATAAATAAATGCTTTATTTTTTACCAAATTTTGTTTTATGTTAATTTAACATATGATAATTTACATATTCATTTAATATTACAGGATGAATTTGGCACAAAAGCTACAAATATATACTATATCTTCTTTTTTTATTCACTAATTAATCTATAATTGAAATCAAGAAGGACAAGAAAAAATGTGATTGTTGCAAAATAGCACAGTTTTAAATAGAAGACCTGCCATCGTTGACTCTCCAATTGGAATTAAATGTTGTTTTTATTGCCTTGATTATCATAATATAATTACGGAAAAACGTAGTTTTTTTACATAGTACAGCAAACCTGCTCAATTATTGTACTATCAACCAAATATATTATAAATATTTAGGCTTTTTTGAAAATAAATGTTAGTTTGAGATTTGTGTCTCGCCACAAATGTTATAAGTAAAATTATACAGACGCTTAAAAAATTAACTAATGTCCATACAAGATCACTCATTTAGCTGAAATTACTTTCAATTTATTTATTACATATTTAGTTAAAGATATAAATATTTGGAGGCCGAGTCACATTTGCCATGCCAGAGGTTTTTGGGTCGAATCCCGGCGCACTCATGACTTTTTAAGAATAATTCGAAAGAAAAGTAAAGTGGTTTGACACTCCCTTTAAGATCGGAATTACTTTTATTATAAACACTTACTCCTTTTTTAAAAATAACTGTTGTTGTTACGTACATACTTTTTTAAAGTTAAAATAAATGTATAGGCGTGTAAAAAAGTAAAACGAATGAGCGATTTTGCTGTATATACGATTATCTGAATTAGACAAAAAAGAAAAAAACCTGCTAAATAAAATAATAACATACATTAATTTTAAACAACAAAATCTTCGATAATCCACTGGTCAATAGTTGAACGCATATTGTGAATTTAGTAGTATTGTGGGTTTTCGCATAAAATCGAGAATTTTTTTCCAGCAATGTATGTTGAATCGATGTTTATGTAATCTACGGTATTGTGTTTAAAAGGATGTTGATTTTTATACAACAATTTACAAATACGTGTGTGCAATAGTAAACAACAGATTCTTGGTTAATTAATTCAGATTCATTGATCGATAATTGAAAGAACATCTGCAGTTTTACGGCCGAGTAAATTTTCGGTCAAAAGTGTAGTTTCTTCTTGGAATATATGATGAAACATTAATCTGCACGCGAGAGGGAGAGAGAGGGAGGGAGGGAGGGGAGAGAGAGTGAGAAACAAAGTGAGTGAGAGGTAAAGAGTGTGTAAACAAATTTGTTACGATAGCTCAAGTGGTAGAGCAGCGGCATATTTGGCCGAGGGTCGTGGGTTCGAATCCCGCTCGTGACACTGATTTTTTTATCTCAACCAATAACTATTATAAAGATTAATTAATTGAAAATAATATGAGATAATTTATTTCATGGCAAACAACCGAACACAACTTGTTTTTAGGTTTGGATGTTAGTTGTTCTCAAGATCTGTGAATTCTGAGAACCGGCTCATTTCGAGTACAAAGCTTCGGGTTTTCCCAACTTTTTTGAAATGCTTTCAAGTTGATTCGTTGTTGCAAGGGTTTTTCTAAAACAGTTCGAGAAAACCTTCATGTTATATCTGTACAGCTCGATATTTTGTCATGAATATCTAAATATTTATTTATTTAATTTATGTTGGTTTATTAATACAATAGGTGGTTTAATACCTGTAAGAAATTAGTTTAATCATTGGGGAAATAACAAGTTTAGGCCGAGTGAGCAGTAACCTTCGTTTATTTTATATTCGTTTTCAATTGTTAAATTGAAGATTATTATATTATTCAACTGCATTAATCCACCTACTAGGACATTGAGCGCAATTGGCAGGTTAAAATAACTACATAAATTAGATTATATATTTAAAAAATCCATTTTCCAGTTTAATTTTCAACTTCATAAGGTAATTCCAATTTATCAATCGTATGTCAATGAAATAAAGAACAGCTAATGTAATATAATAGGTTGAGAGACGATAAAACGGGGGAAGTCTGAAGAGCGTGGGCGATGGGAAAATCAAATCGTGAACATCCCTTGGGGCGGTAGTGAAATCGTAGTAGCCCCACAGACCCCCCCCGCAGACCGAGTGCTGTAATTTCCTGTGATTATGTTGAAAGAGCATTTCCAAGCCTTTATATCTCTTTCCTTCTGGTAAATTCTCCTCCTGGTCCTTCTTGCCTGCAAAATTCGGATCCTCCGTTGAAACGGAGCCGAGGAAGTCTCGACAGAAATTAATTAACCCTTCCGTCCCGATGGCGAGGCATGCTGCACAAAAGGGCTCGTTAAACTAATTATTAATTGCCAAAGCATACAATTTTAATATATATTTTCTATGCGTGAGAGGCTTTAAAGTGAGTTGAAGACAGGTGGGAAGATGTTTGTGCCAGTTCGTCTATTATTTTATATAATGCTTCGCACACTTGTGCACAAGTTAAACAGTATATAGCTTATAATAGTAATAGTTTACAAAATATGATTTAACTATCGTAATTACGTGTATCATAATTATACTTGCATATGAACCTTAATATTAATACTTTTTACAAATTCACAATTGTTTTATACTTAATGTTACATTTAATCCCCCTTTTCTCTCTCCTCTCTATCTTTATCTATCTATCGATATCCCAACTTTGTTTTTAATTTTTTTATTCCAAAGTTAACCTGCAATCTGTCTCTTTCTCTCTATCTACATATCTATCTTTCCTTCTATCTATGTATCTATTTATCTACATGTCTATATACCTTTGTTCTTTCTTTCTATCTATATACCTATCTATTTCTCGACCACTTTGTTTTTACACTAGCTCTCACATTTGGTTCCGAATTTTAAGCACTCTCTTTCTCTCTAGCTCTTTCTCTATGTTCAAATAAAAAGCATAAAATCATTCAAATTAAAACTAAAAGAATACTTATTAAGTAAATATGTTAAATATAACACTACAAATTAGCATTTACCGTATTTATTTACTTAGTTAACATTACATAATATACTTAAATACTTTTATTTATTACTTTTATTATTCTCTTTTTATTATATACTTTTACATTAATTTCTAAAACATTAATAATCATTTTTAAATCGTAAAATTGTTTCATTTCTAGAAGGTACTAATCTAGTTTTTAATAATCTTACGAAAAATCTATGTCTAATTTTGTTACTCAACAATACTATGCTCTATATAAAAATACAGCTTACAAGAGGGAGGCGAGAGGAAGGGAGGGAGGGAGAAAGAGAGAGAGAAGGAGAAAGGGTGAGAAGGAGAAAGGGAGAGGGGGAGAGAGTGTGTGCGTGAAAGGGAGATTTAAAAAATCACAATACATGAGCAGAGAGAAAGCCAGCCAGCTGACTTGATGGATCTGTAGCTTGGTATATAAATATAAATATGTAGCGATAAAAGGGTAATAGTAATTTTTGACAGTTCAGTAAAAACTAGCGTGACAAACTTTGTACAGCTCTAATAAATTCTCGCAATCAAAATGATTCCCATTATTATTTCTTCTACCTTCTATAAGGTTGTGCAGACGTCTCTTAAATTAGCACTTTTTTTTAGCAGGGAGAGAAAAATCAGGAGCGAAGCGGAGGCCGACCAGGCTTATCGTTCCTCCCAGGTCTTAAACTCAATAAAGTTTTTCGCGTCATCTTAATTTTCAGCCTATAAAAAGAAGAGCAACGACCCAAAACGTGATAATCAGTTGAGATAATTTTAGGCAGATTGGATTATTTTGTAAGACAAGTTTTGTCGAAGAAACAGTAAACAAATCAAACGAAACCTTTGACAAATGCACAAAATCACTGGAGAAAATTTAATCCCTCGGTTTTGTATTCCGTTTACATAACGCTTACTATTGTTCTCAGGACAATTCAAGAGTTTCCATTGCATAAAGAGACAGAAATACAAACGAC